CTATATTTTTTAAATTTTAAAATATTCAAATAAAATTTTGTTTGATAATATTTAAAAATAAGGATTATAATATAGTAATATTTATAAGAAAAAAAGTTTAAATTACTTATAAGTTATAAATAAACAAATTTAAAAAAATTTTAATTAAAAAAATTATTCATTAATTCTTAGTGAACTCTGTAAATATTAATTTTAAACTTATAGTTTTTAATACAATATTATAGCTTATATAAAAGATGTTAACTTTTATTAATACAATTTTTTTAATTTATTTGTAAAAATTTAAACTTGTATCAAGAATAAATTTTTTTTTTAGTTTCAAGAACATATAAAATCTTGAAAAGTTTAAAGAAAATTTTTTTTTTATAATAAAAATTTTTAAACAAAATCTTTAAATTTTATTACTTAAAAATTTTTTATTAATTTTAAAAAAAATTTTCTAATAAAATTTGTAAAGTACATTTTCAATAAAAATTCAAACAAATTTGCCTGAAAAACGGTTTAAAGGATATTATAATACTTAAAATTTACAGCTTCAATTGTTTCAACCGCGACAATTATTTTAATGGCGACTGAATTAAGCGGTTAACGCTTAAACGATTACAAGAAATTTAGGCGGTTCTAACCTCTAATTTTTTAAATAGATTCATTCTTGTTCGCCAGTGGTATGAAACCGAAATAATAGCGATAGTGTAGAAAGTGGTAAACTTTTAGAAGTTCTTAGTTGAATCGGAATATCTAGCGCCATATAACATTCATGTTAAATGGCTTTGGTTAATAATAATGGTAAGAATTTATAAATAATATATTATATACTAATTGCCGATCTAAATTTAAAGCGAGAAGAACTGACATAGATAAAGTTGAAGTTATAAATATTTGCTATCGATATGGCGAATTTACCAGTTACAATAAAAATTTTAACCTAAATAAGGCATATACGTAATCCAGTGAAGATCTCAATTTCGGTTAAAACCTCATTTTTGACCCATTTGTTAACTATCATGTGTTGGTCAATATAACCAACTTCATATTGTTACATAAAATTATTTTTAAGTTTATATTTTTGTATTCTATCGCTATACAAAAAATAATTTTAATCTTATATTGTTTGATCTAATCTATCTATCTTTATGTGATATAATAATAGTGATTAAACAATTAAATGGATATCGATATCAATTGATATAAGAGTTCGAGATATCGTCGTCCATGCCGTAATTATATAACGAGTTAAGGCTTATCATTATATAGTAACTAGTTGATGTTAAAGGCCTGGGTATCTTCTATTTAGTCATATATATTATATAAGACGTGTTTTTGCTATTATGTGTAACATTTTTTGGCATTGATTTTTGTCTTTTACCCACTAAAAAAACAAACTTTTATAAAGATCCTTCCAAAAAACATTTCTTATTTACTTGATAGATACGAGTCTTAGATTTCTTATCTAATAAAAACATTTAAATCAATTATACAGTTTTACCTTTGACTTTTACTTTTATTAGACTTGTAAAGTTTTAAATGAGATCTATTATCTGTTATAATGATTATCTAGATATTTAAATTCCAATATACGGATAATTGGAATAGCTCTCCGATCTAGATTGTGAAATCTTTGCATGGTATAAGGTAAGATTTCCTTCTTAATTATAACTATACAAAAGAGTTGAAAAATAGTTGTTATTCGTGACTAAATTTTGGCTCATTAGCTTTTTTCTTTTTTTTTTTGTCTTCAGAGTTATTATTTTTTTCAAAAATGTGAATGATCTATTACAAAATGTTTTAATCCCTTGGGCAATGAATATTTTCACATAAAGAGAGGCTAAATATTATCGCCATCGATGGCAGTTTAACGCCAACCACCAAATTACCTTACTGTTCTTATCAAATAAATCGTTATCATTACCGTTATTGTGTGTGCTAACCATAAAAGTGAAAATCCCGGAATATCATCCGATGGTGATATCCCATCGAATTTTAGACGTCGGAGGTGAATTTCCTCTTCACAAAAATCACAACAATCATGAATTATTAAACAATTGTAGAACGAAGACGCTTTTCTTCGTTTTTTTTTTCTTTTTTTTTCTTTTTTTTTTATATCTACACTATGCTGCAAAAGTTATTTCGCTCAAAGCCTACGTCTAAAAATGAAGACGACAAACATGCTCAATCCTTACTAGGAACTGACCCGTACGTATATTGTCTTTAAGAATTCTATTTTAAACCGAGTTATTTCAAGTGAATAGGACATACCAATGTTTATGGCATAAGATAGATATTAAAGAGCGTCAAGATACTGTTTATATTTAAAAAAAAGGTCGAGTGCTAAGAAAAAAAATTGTTAGGTCTGAGATATAGTTCGTTTAAGTCATTCATATTTCATGTAATTGGGAGTGAGAAACCCCAATAATTACATGATTAAAGCGAATAGATCAAGAGATATTACCATATTTTTTAAAAATTCCTCTTTGTTACTTACATATGTTTAAATCGCCTCCGAAATTCATTATTATTTGTATTTCAGCTGGTCTCCTCCGTCCTTCGATGCTAGTCAAATACGAGTAATTGTCTGTCAAGATACTGGTGATAAGACAAAGCTGACCTTATTCGATTCTGCTTATTCCACACCTAATACCTCTGATAACCGAGATCATACAAATATTGAACCCTCATCTTGGAGTGGTGTTAATTTTCTGAGCGGAAACTTTTTACCAAAGTCAAGTAGTGCAATAAATATAAGATCTTCTACTCTCCCTCGTATTCAGGATTCTACTCATGATGAGAGTAAACGAAGAAGTTTAGATTCTCCAAATCCAAATCGATCAAATGCTAATACATTACCACCATCTAATCGTGGTAATCTAAGAAAGGTTAGTATTACGATTGACTTTATCATTAAAAAAAAAGAAGGTATTAGGTGGTGAAAAGAAAGGCTGGTAGACGTTTTTGGCCTTATTGATCATTTTTGATTATTTTTGATCAGCTTTGATCAGTTTTAATCTTTGATATTCTCTCTGATCCAACAATTTTATTTTATAATCTGTGTAATAATACATACTGTATAATATTAATCACTTTGGTGTTCTGATTGTATTATTATTATGAATTAAAATGATCTGGGTTGTAAAAAAAAAAAAAGAAAAATTTGCCATTTGTTTAATTAATTTAATTATTTAATTAGTAAATACGTAACTATACTTACAGCACTTTAATGCGTTTAATTATAGACGGCTCACAATATTGACTTGATTGGTGATATGATGTTTGGAACCGTCCCTTTATCATATAAGGGAATGACTACAAAGATTCACTTTATGGAATCTCCCAAGCCACAAATTTTATTGACCAAATTATTTTCCATAAATCCTTCGGATTTAGAAAGTAATCCTTCTGTGAGAAGAGGTTCTTTTTCGTCTACGAGTAGTGATACTTCATTGTCTACTTCAACTCAAGGCAGTGCGATAACCACAAATGGTCCACGAAATGCTTCAAAACCTATTTCTGAGTCTAGTTCTATGTTTTTTGATGATTTCTCCGAATTTTGTGACGATGACTCCTTTCGTGCTGTTCCTTCTTATGCTTCCCTTCCATCTTCATTTCGTATTGATCCTTCAATACATGGCTTACGTATTTCCGGTGCTTCTGTTATCTCTACTCCCTCTCCTTCTACTTCTCCAAGAATTGCTTTTGCTAATAGAAGATTACGAAGATTCAGTTATACTAGTATGGAAAATGGTATATTTAATCCAACGCCCTTACCAGGCAGTATGACTCCACGATGTGATCAGTTACCTAGCAGTGTATGTAGGCCTTGGCGTGTATGACTTATTCATTATTATCTATTAATTAAATTTCTTAATTTTATTTATTAATGTGCTTCAGTCAAGTTTAAAGCATCCTTCACGCTCTTTTATGTACTCTGTTGGTGTAGTCTTATCTTTGGATGATAATGATCTTTTGGAGAGTTTTGTTTTCTCTCATTTTGCATTGTTAGAAAACAAATTGCATCAACTTTACTCTAACGTATTCAAAATAATTTGCCATCTCCTCCGGAAATCTCCGTCGCCATCTACCATAAGTGGTTCTCATTCTGTATATAATCCTTATTTATTGTGCTTGTATTTTCCTAAATATAATCCATACTATTTTAAATTCATATATCCTAAAATTCATTATATATTAATTTAGATATTTAATACACCTACTCGGCATAGAATTTCCGCTTCTTCTCTTTCGTCACTTGTTTTACAAAATGATCCACTCTGGTTAAAAGTTGTGACGAGATTTAAGACTTCGGTGTGCCAATTATATAACACACCGAGAATTCAGGTATAAATATGAAAAGATTCTCCACATCGTGAAGCTCCTAGGAAATGTTGCTTTACCTAGAGTGCGCGCGCCTTTGCATGATTTGCGTGCGCACAAGCAAAAGGTAGCAACTACTAACTCCTACCTAAACTTTGTGCAAGGAGCCTTTATGGTTGACCATGTCAACATTTCCGCATAAAAGGGAAAAACTCGCAAAAAGCTTTATGTCTGAATTGTCTTATCTATTAGAAAAATATGACGACGAAAAATCGAATTTGTATCCTCTATATTTCTTGTTTATATGATGTGTTTGTGTATAAACTCTTTATTTTTTAAAATTTATCTCCTTAATCAAACATCTTGACTTTAATAGCTTTATATCGATACTAATTACCAACATTCTAATGTACCATCTTTCTTGGGTACCTACTGTTGCTGATTTTGAAGAGCGGGTACCAATTAATTATTTTAAACTTCATTCGTGTTATTCACGTCTATTGGATTATTAAAATGACTTTATTATTTATATAATTATAAAGAATGGTAAAAATTTATTTTATGATCCATTGTGGGCTCAGTTGGGGTATGTAACTTATTATTTTTACGAACTTTTTTTTTTAATGATTTTATGTAATATGTACAAGTTTCTTACATTTTTTATTCTTATATTATTATGGTTATTATTATTATTACTTTATTGTTATTTTATTATTATTTATTTTATTTTGATTTAAAGAGATTTATATGGTGTCATGGGAACGCCATCAATAATGAGTAGAACCATAATTTCTGGAACAGATGAAAATACAGTTTGTCGAATATTGTTTGTTCTTAGCTACTTTATACGATGCAATGAAATATTTGAAAGATCAGAAGATATAATCCCTTTAGAATTACAGCGTGAAGAAGAGAGTAAGACATCTTTAAATTGCGATAAAAATTTATCATCAGAGTCTACTCCATCAGATGGTAACGTCCTTCACAAAAAGGAGGCTGAAACGTTGGACACCCAAAATAAAAATGAGAGTAATGATATTACAAATATTAACCATAATAAATCACACAAGAGATCTGAAAGTCAACATAAAAGGGTTATAATAGATTTTCCTTTTACGGATATTTCTGTAGAAAACTTTTTAGATGTTCCAATGCCCAAGTAAGAAATGTCATTGTTTATTACCTTTACAATTATTTCCTACAAATTTTCTTACAATTATTTTGTAAATTGATATAATGACTTATTAACCGTTAAATTTTAGATCACAAATTCAGTCCGTGATACCTGATCCATCATTAATCACAACAGATAAAGATAAAAATGCAGCAAATACAAAAAGTTTTCTTAGTGCAGATCAATTATTCGTAAAATCCTACGGCAGGTCACTAATGGCTGGCTATTGTGAGAAATATATGTCAGACTTTGTATTGATGGGTCTCCCTAAACTTGATGAATTTCAGGATTCTTTGGCGGCTGATTTGAAGAATTCTTTACGGGTGATTATATTAATTAAATATATTATGTTATTGGAATTTTATATTTATAACGTTTATTTTTTATTTATTTTTTTTAGATGCAACCATTTTCTTTACAAGAGCCAGTTTCCAAATCAATTTGCATTTCGGGACAATTGAATACTTTGTATGTTTCTCAATTTAATGTTTTTTGTTATTCGATTGATGGAATATTATTATAACCTTATCTTTTATTAGGAACTGCTCTATTTTAGGATGTGAAGCTTATAACGGTCATATTATCGGTGGAAGTCCGCCAGTAACAGTTCAAGAGGATCATATAAGGAATGTTAATGAGTATTTTGTCCCATTAAACACTAAGTCAGAATACGTATCTACTATGCTTCATCAATGTAAAAATTTGTATACTAAGATTGGTATGCCTGCAGAATCTGTAAGTATAACTTTGGATTTTCGATGAATTATTATTATCTTTTGCTAATCATATTTGTTATTTTTTTAGTGTCTAGAATATTTAGAAGATCGTCTAAGAATATTATATCATAAGGCTATTATGTACAAAAATTATTCCGCTAACTCATCTACTGCTGTTTCTATTTCATCACAATATTTATTTGTTCAACCATCTAAAAATGAGCAAGTACCAGTAAATGTGTTAGAGGCACTAGGATTACATAAATCAGATCTTCAATTAATCTATGCCGTTAGTTCTACTTTGTAATTTATGATTTTTTGGACAATTTTTTTTTCTTTTTTTATCATTATAATTTATATTTATTTATTCCCTTTTTTTGGAAACAATTTGATTATTATTGTTTTAATATAGATGATTTATAAGATTAATGGCAAATTTATTATTTCTAATACCGATATAATAAATACACCTATATTTACCTATTAATTATTATATAAGCTTTTGCTATATTTCAATTGTTATAATTCTTTATGAAAAAATTTTTATAGTGCAATGGGTAGACTAGGGATGGACCAATCCTAGAAAGACTGAACAAGGGTCAGTCTTTTTAACCAGTTTATGGTTATTCTGTCCACGTGAAACTAACCCAGTATTAGGGTGTCCAGAATTATGCGATTTGTCTGGTCAATTATGCGTTGAATGTGAAATAAATTTAAATTATGCGAATAAATAAATTGATTATGCGATTTTTAAATCCTTTATAATCGTATTTATTTACATGTTAAAATTCAAAAAATTTAACATTCTAATTGAATTTTCTGATAAAGCATGCCTATTATCCATTAAATTCGTTTATAAGCTGAAAAGCTAAGTTCTACATCTACTTCAGAAACTGGTAACCAAATATATACAAACGCGATTTTACTAAGAACTGATAACAAAATCGTCTTCTCATGTTAGTAATTATTCAAATCAAAACTTTTGCTAAATATTTCTAATAATTCTGAATAAATCGCCTATTCATTAATAAGATTATTTGACGGATTTTTCAACTCTTCAATTGCTTATATAATGCAATATTATATCAGTTTGTTTGTGCTTGTATATATCAAAGATCAAAGCAACAAATTACTTTAAAAATTGGAAATGCAGAATGATTATCAATATGCTTGTTATAAGTTAATTGAAATGTTTTCTTAAAGATTTTATCATATGATAATATATTATACTAATAAGTTTCACACTATTTAGAAGGTAATTGATGATCTGAATTTAAAAAAGTATGTACTTGTTATAACAGTCAGCAATAAATGGTACAATTGGTTTATTCTAAATTTTAAAAAACTTAAGATTTTAACTAACTTATATATTAAATAAATAAAGTAAACAAAATAGTAAAGTTATAAAATAAAGAATAAATTACAAATAAAATAAATTATTATAATTTTAAAAATTCTAAAACTGTTACATTCTTTACAAATTTTAAATTCTTTAAAATAAAAATGATTATAAATCTAAAATGTATAGCATGACTGGAAGGTCTAGGTATTTGTGCAACATTATATGAAAGAACACAAACTGGTACTAGGCAGTGTGAATCCAAGATAAGTTCTTAGGTTATGTAAATCATGAAAACCAGGTAAGAAGATGGAAGTCTACTTAGAAGACCTGAGTAAAGAGGTAACCTGAACTTTTGACAATGCTACTGTAAAGATTAGACCTATAAAATGAAGTTAGAACTTGTGAAACTAGACACAGAGTCAGCCTTTGAGGAGGGATCAAATGGAACCAACCAGACTGCTAGAATTTGTTCCAAAGAAAAAGATTACATACCAGCAAACATGTAAACAAGAAGTATATAGTTATGATCTGTTTTTCTGAACTATCTGGGTTAAGAACTTGGTAAAACTTGAATTGAATACCAAAGTAGTAGGTATATGTTGTAAAGTCATTACCAGAGTTAGGGTGAACTCTACAAGGGCATAGTGGTTTAATGATATACCCTAATTATCAGTGTTGGTCTTAATCATAGTGATACCAGATCAGTTGTAAGAATAGGATACAGAAGATTCTAGAAGGTTTAGTACAAGGTTAAAGGTTCTCCATATAAGTGAACTGCTTTAAAGACTTAGTAGTTATGCTATATTTTCACTAGCATCAGTCAGAATTATTGGTAGGCAGAGATAGGTGGGCAGATACAGAAACTAGAATAGTTAAATAGGAAACCTACAGCAGGTTCCAGATATGGCAACTAGTATAGAATCTTCAGATAAACTACTTAAATTAGATAATAATTAAAGTTATACAAGTGACTAGTTGTATACTCTTTTTATGATTACTCTTTGTGGCTGTAATGCAACTATTAGCCAAATATATTATCAATAAAATCCTGGATCACAAGTACTTATCTTAATATTTAAAAAAAAAAATCTAAAATATAAAATTAAATCATATAGTATATTATATATTGCTTAAAATAATTATTTTTTTAGAATTTTTATAGTCAAATTTCTTATAATTTAGTAATCAGATTTATGTAATTTTGTTATTATTTGAACTATTTTAATAAGTTAATTCAAATGATACCAATATTATACAAATCTAATTACTAGATTATAAGAAATTTGGTTATAAAAATTCTTCTAAGAGGATGTTTATTTTTAGTAATATATGATATTTTATTTTTATAAATAAAAACAAAAGTATATAATCAGAATACTTATTTGAAGAAAGAAACAAAACCTATTATTATTTGTTGACTAGAAAATATATAAAGATTATTTTAACTAAACTAATTATAAAATTAAAAAAATCTTAATATCAAAAAAAATAAAAAATAAAATATAAAATCAAAAATAAAATTTTTATATTTAATTTGTTTTTCTTATTTTTTTTTTTTGGCAGCCTTGTTATTAATTTTTATTAAGCTTTATATTTACAAATTTGTATTACTTTAACCTAATTTACTAGTTGAACATTCTTTGATTGCTTTAATAAGTGTTCAAAGATAGTCTATTACACTGGTTAAGATAATACTCAGATCTAAGAATTGTATTAAACTATTCTAAAAAATTATATAAAAATAGTCTTACTTTACTTTCTATATAACTTTTTATTAAACCAAACTATGATTCTTTTATCTTATTATTTTTTATTTTTTTTACCTTCTTAATTTCTTTAGTAGCTTGATTTTTTTCTATTTTAATTGTATTTATTGTTTGGTTATGTATCTCTTTATTAGATAGTTTTGTATTTTTTACTGGTTTTTTCTACTTTAATGATCAATTAATATTCATCAGTTTTTTTCATTTAATAATAACTTAATATCTTTTTTTTCATATTTTTTATAGAACTTATTTTATACTGTATTGGTTATTATATTTAAAAACTCTTTTATTTTCTTAAATGGTTTTAGTATATTTTATATTTACTTAATTATTTTTTTTGAACTAAATATTTGACTATTTTTATTCTTGTTTCTTCTTTTTCTTATTGTTTACTTATCAAAAAATTTCTTTAAATTATATTTTATTTGTAATTGCTTAAGTTTTACTTAAATGTTTAACTCACAATTAAATTAATAAATATTAATATAAAAATATGCTTCTTACAGAAATAAATATACAACAAAAGTCAATTCAAATAAGAGTTCTATAAATTGTAAAAAATACAAAAGTTAAGAAAAAACAAAAAAACAAAACAGTGAACAAAGAAGAGACATATATAAAAAAATATATATATTATTAACCTACAAAAACGATTATAACTCTTGAACTACTGGACAGAATTCGTTGAAACTATCACCATTCGAATCAGCTCACTGAGATGGTTCTAATGAGGTATAGATCATCTATTTCTAATCACAGAATCACAAAATTGAATCCAATAACCAAATTAATAAGAAAGCTGCGATCTGATTGGTTGAATAATAAGTGCACAAAATATCATACATATAACATATATAACATTTATGCATTTTGAAGCATCTATATTTTATATTATATTTAGTT